GAGTATTTATTATGACATTACATTTATAAAAAATTACATTAATTGATCATTTTCATCAAATAGCAATATAAAAAAAGTAAATATTGTAAGAAAGAGCAATAATGCGAATCTTGAATATTCATAATAATCTAGACGTGGGCTTAACAATGTGAATATTCGATTCACAAATTTGAAAACAAAACCCTCAGTATTTTTTTGTATTATACGCAAAAAAGCAAGAACAATGATTTTGAGGTACACGTCTGAGACATTCATCCTTTCAGGAAAATTTTCATTGTTTTCATAACACTGTTAGATTGTTTATATACAGAAAAAAACAATCACAAAACTATTAGCTTATGGTGCAACGCGTACTACACTATTCGTGACTTCTATACTATATGTCTATATCAACTCAACTATTAATTTTTTGGAAAAATAAATACTGTATTGGGAAGCTGCACATTCAAACGAACTATTCACAACTGTTCATGATATACACTTCAACATAACTCCTCTCTTGAGAAAATGTAGATATTCCAATCCAAGCATTTAACCTGTTGATCTCGTCATCAATATTGATTCATCATTTCATTTAACCTATTTAATAACATCCATATCAAATTATACCGTCTCCTTAATTCAACCTGTCTAATCATTATACTCTCTCCGTTTCATATTAAGTGTCGTTGTAGAGAGTGTTTTGTGTTACAAAATAAGTGTCGTTTTCGGTTCTCAATGCAAAATTTATTAATTTTATTATGTAATGTGTTTTTCTATTGGTTAAAATATGGTTAGGTGTATGGGTAATTGTATTTTTATATAGGAAATATGTAAAATTAATTGTTTCCTTAATCCGTGTGCACAGCTGTTGAGTGACACTTATAATGAAACATAGGGAGTATAAGTTAAAAATTATACGTTTATGAGAAATTATAGTGAGTTATCTAAATTTGAATTCAAATAACTTTCCGTTAGAGTGTATCATTAGTACATGTGATTCTTTTCAACGTTGATAGAATTATGAATGAGAAGCCAATCTTTCTATTAACGAAAACAACCATACGTTCTATAATAAGTATATAATTAAACGTACAACCTAACTTTCTTGAAGAAACTGAACATAAGATTGGTACAAAACTATGAGAATAGAAAGAAAATGATGTAAGATGAAAAGGTAGTGCACGTGCGAGAGAGCCCACAAGGAGGCAAGAGTATTATGATTATTGACTAGTAGGATGACAAATGCAAGAGAAAAGGAAACAAGAAAGGATGTACAAGGACAATGTCTCGTTATTTAGTCCTCTCAATGGGCTCTTGTACAACTAAATATTGGGCCTTTGGGCCATTGATCGATTACGAGACATTGTTTCTTGGTCTATGGACTAATCTTAGTTTGGAATTTGGTCTGGGCACAGTGCTGAAACCATGTTTTTTTTTCAGTTGCTTATATATTTCTAAAATTTCACAGCAGAAAGCACAAACCCTAGGCAAGACTTTTATCCCAAGTCTCTTACGCTAATTTCCTTGCAAGCAGGATCTAGCAATACCAATAACAAAGTAGCAACACCACTCTTTGGAACAACCTTTGAGTAGGTCCAACTATCTAATATAACCAACTATCTCGAGTCTTCCTCTTCGCCGTAGTTGAATGGTAAGGGAACTGTTTTGAATGCTCTGAACTTCCCCACGTTGTTCAAATGCTCATTCTCTAACCTGTTTCCATAACCCAGAAAAAAAAAAAAAAACCTTAAGTAACATAATGGATGTCTGAGGAGCATTTACTGATTGTTTCTTGGTCAAGACGCTACCTGAAGAAGTTCCAGATACCACGGCGTATGATCTCAAGAATAGCAAGGAGAGCAATCATTGTTTCTCTATGCAAAAACGAGGAATTGAAATCCAGAACAGTCTGCAACCATGCCAACCTCAACACAACGTTTACCACCTACAACAGAGAAAATAAATATTCAATAGAAACCCTAAAACAGGTTTGTTTAGTTATATTTTTTCTTCTTAGTTCTCACCATTGCAACGTAATAGACGGCTTTGTTAGGAACAAGAAGCTTCTCTCTAAGCCAAGTTTTAGATGGATTATGAAGCAATCCCCAGTCAAACACAATATCCCAATATGTACCGTAAAAAGTTGCCAAGGCAGAGAAAACCCATGCACCGATTCTCCAGACGTTTCCTCTATTAAGGCTATAAGCTGTTCTCAAGCACACAGCAACGATGGTCAACAAATACTTGAGAGCATTGAAGCCTTGGCTTGAATCTTTCTCTTCGATTAACCTTCTAACACACTGAAGGAAACGTGACCAGTAAGGAATCACAGCGACGATGAAGTAGAATGTGCTATACACATCGCTTGATCTGCATGTGTTTCTTCTTAGCCTGAAGTCTCCCCAACCATAGTAACAAACGTAGAACTGAAGACTCCTCAGAGCTTGAACCTGGCTTGTTAACTGGTCCGCCAAGAAAAAATCCGGAAGACTAACCTGAAAATTTATATGTGATTTAATTGAGATGTTTATTGATCATGCAACAATTGATCAGGACTGGATCTGAGGTTTGGAGACTTGAAACATGCAAAAAAAATTTAGTAAATTTTTTTTTTTTTTGCCATAATGTAAAAAACCTTTAAATTTTTTGATGGGCCAAAATCAATGTTTCATTGAGCATGTGATTGACTAAAGTACCTTGTAGAGGGGGGCAGCTATGCAGCGGAATATAACTGCTAGGAAGAAGAAGCGGCTTGACCGATAGAAAATGTTGAAGGGACAAACAGAAATGGCCATCACTATCTGTATAAAACATTGTACATAATGAAATGTTGTTATTAACATAATGATTTAACGTTATTGTGGTTGTAATAATAATGAGCAACTTACAGCTACAACGAAAAGGGGAAGAAGTTCAGTGATTGTCTTGTAGTCATTAGTACTAGGATCCATCTCCATGTCAAGGTTTATTATAACAGCAGCTAGAGCAAGCGTGCCGAGACCAAAGCTTAGTAGGAGGACTGGTCTGTAACCAAGTTCTGTTCCTTCTTTGAATCCGAATATGAAGGGGTAATTTACTCGGTATCTCTTCCAAAAGTATATGTTTGAAGCGTACATTATCATGTGCAGGACAATGAATCCAAACAAACTGAAAAACATTGTTTATGAAACATTCTTGTCAGCAAGAAAACAATTGATCAAATTAGAGAGAGGAATCTATAAATGTTTTGGTTTGAACCTGTAGAGAGGGAACATTGTCTCCATGTAGAGTTTTTGTCCTTCTGTGCCCATTATATTACGAGCATGGACAAACAAGGCAAGGGCAATCACTAGAGAGACTGAGCAGCCAACAAAAAAGCCTGATAAAGAAGATTTTGATTAGTTTGCCATGAACTATAACTGTTATAAAATGTGATTTATATTTGGGATGTTTTCTAGTTACCAGTTGAAAACGTTATACGATGTCTTTCTTTCTTCACTATTGGTCTTAAGAGATTCATTCCTTTGCTTCGGTTCGAACTGGCGAAATGCTCGACGAAAATAGACTCAACTCTCACCATAAGTTTGTTGATCTGTTAAATGTCAATAAAGATTATGTTTAAGTTTTGTAGTATTATTTGAAGAAATATATAATAAGCTTTATATGGAGATGTTGTAGTAACCTCATCAGAGCTAGTGAGGTAGGACTTATCTACCATCTCCATGTAAGGTTTTGCTGCATTTCTTGAAGAAATCTGATAGAAAAGAAATACCAAAAACATATTAATAAATACATGGCCGTGGTGGTCCTGAGCATAGTCAAATCAAGCATTAGTTTTGAATCCCCAATAATTTAAGGAAAAAAAAATAATAGGTCCCAATTTTTTTAATATATTAAAATTCTTACAAAATTGTTTCTAACTTACAAAAACTCAGAGCTCTAAATAAATATCAAGAAACATAGATACATATATATAACTAAATCAAGTGTTACCTTATCATACTTCTTCATGATCTTTGAAATCGCCAAGGTGTTCAAGAAGCTGAAATAATTGTGATATGTATCAAATTAAACAATCTTTATGAGTTGCATTTATTTATATTAAGAATGCCTAAGGAACAACATTCATACCTGTAATTCTTGAGATGTCTAAGTTTGCGATGAAACTCGATAAAGACATTCTTGAGCCGTTCTTTTATTTTCTTGAGATTCTCTCTTGTGAATTTGAGCTCTTCTTGGTTAGATAGCTTGAGGACGTTTCTGATTGTGGCCAGTGGAGTTTCCTGAGTTTTGTTTAATCTGATACGGTCAAGAACACTTATCTCTTTGGTTGAATCTCCATCGTTGGATCCCATATCATCAGCTAATGACTTCTTTCCTTCAAAACCAAACACACACACACAAAAAAAACAACAAGATTCAAACCTTTTTTTCCTTTCATACAAAACACAGTAACAAATAAACAATCTTATGAGATCTTACCATGTTCCTTGGAATCCAAGGCATCCACGTCAACTGATACTGTTTCAGAGCATGTCCACGAAGAAGAAGGTCGTTCTACTTTGAGTCTGAAAGCAATCAGAGCATCCATTTGTTTGTTCAAACACACTGCCTCCTTCACCATTTCATCCACTTTAGACCGGTAAAAACGGTTCACTTTATCGAACTCAAGATCTAGGGTTTTAAAGAAGACAAGCTCTGACTCTCTCCCTGCTTCAGCGACTTTCATGATGGTCGTCTCGTATCTCTCAAACCCATCATCACCAATCCTTGTACTCACCATAATGTCCTGGTTTTCGGGTTCCAGATACGAGGCGGCGCGACTGTACCGCTTTGTAAGACCGCTGAAGTTGCGGAGAACAGATTTCTTGGGTTGTAAGGCACCTGATGTTCCTGATCTTTTGCGTGAGTTCTTGATTTCTTGAAGAATGGATTTGAGACAAGGATAATTCATGTAAGCTTGTTGCCATTCTGGAACCATCTGCCCATCAAACTCTTTCCCAAACTTCATCTTTTGTAAAAACTCAAGAATCTCTCTCTCTCTATCTTTACTTCACTGAAAAGTTGGCTGAGTAATGAGCACTTATAGAGAAGACTAACAATTCTTTAAAAAGTATGAAAGAAGAGATCTTAAAGAATTTCAAAGGAAGACAACTATAAAGAAAAGGAAAGTTGGTGAAAAAGTTTTAGAAGGAATCTTCGTAAAAGGAAATAATCAATTAGCCAACCATGCGCATATCTCTGAATACATTCAACGAGTCTTTTATATATACGTCCACAGTCAATATCCTTTACAACAATATATTTGTTTCAATGTGTATTTATAGAAAGAAAGGAATATTTAGTCACATCTATACAGCTTAGCAAGTGGATTTAATTCCCAATTGAGAAAATTCAAAAACATCGAACTGAGATTGAGAAAACACGCTTTGTGTGTGGTAGCCGGTAGGCTCTTGGCAGGACACTGGACAGGTCGTTTCACTAAATAAGATCTTTTGTTTTGTACTTACGACAAAAATCAATAGTTGTGTTTTTAATAACACATGAACGAAGAGTATTACTCGAGTACAAAGTGACTGGTCAAGTAGTTATCATCAAATTACTACAATGTTTAAAAAGGTTAAAAACGTGTTGTGTTTTCCTGCGAGACAGTAAACTAGCTAGTGGCTACTCCTATCTCAAATACCAGAAAACACAAAAGCAATGGACCCAACAACTTTAAGACCCCTCCTCTGTTTATAATACCACATAATGGAGCCTACATTTAAAAAAAAAACAAAATAGATATAAATTGAATATATAGTTTATAATTAGTTTTTTTTTCAAACAGTATACTTTAGATTTCTCTAGTTTTTATAATATAGATGGTAGTTGCCATTGGAACCAATTAACTAGTCACTCGAAATACTCCTTTTTGGATGGAGATGAAATACGACTTCCAAATGGGTTGCTATAGATGATATATTATCGCATAACCGTCATTTGCTTAAAGCATATGAGGCATAAGATTTAGGTCACTAAATTGAGTTTAGTTTCGAGTGCCACATGTTGATGCTTTTAGTGATATTGCTTGTGTGATGTTTTGATTTCTTAACTATCTTAAGCTTAATAATTCTTTTTTTATTTGAAAGTAAAGCGTAATAATTCTAGTTTCATCTTTTAAAAGAATAATTGCTTGTGGTAGTACAATAACTTAAAAATACTTTACTAGATTTGGATCCGTGCATTCGCACTGGTTTTTCCAATTTTATTAAGAAATTTGAATTAATATAAAACTGTATTCAATTTTACTATTAATTACTATTAAATATTATGAAATTTAAATTATGATGTTTAAATTTAGAGACATATTTTTAAGAAAAATAAGCTCAAATACAAAACAACAAACAAATGATTATTTGTATTTACAATTGGTGTGTAAATTAAAATAGTTAATATAATTAAATAAAAAATGGCGTAGAAGTTAACAAATTATTTAATCTTTGTAACTAATCAATGTTTTGATACAAAATGTTTAGTATATGACGTGGATGTATAGTGATGATTACATATATATCTCATTATAATGAATATAAATATTACACACACATATAGTAAAGATCTTTCTTCATCCACTATTGTTACAAAATATTCCTAAAGCAAGAATATATGGATTATCCATGAATGTGGCTTGCATTTATGTATATGTATAAAACTATAAACATATATATTTAATTTAATTTAATTTGTTATAATACTAATGAATTGTCCAAGTAAACATTTGTAAAGTAGATTATTTTAAATGACTTTATTTTAATAGAGTAGATATTTTGTTGTGAGTGAGACCTATACAAAATATGTTTTTGTTTAAAATCAATTTGTTGGAATACTATATAGAAAATGCTACAAGTCAGAAGAAGGGATTTCTAGTTTACCTTATTTTTTGTACCATTATTCATGTTTATATTCATTAGAAAATTATAATTTCTCAAATATTTTTTTATTAAAGGGAAAAAGACTTTCTATATCTTTACTTTCAGATATATAAGTTTAAATAATTATTTAAATTATATAAAATATTATTTTTTATTTAACATTTTCAAATTCATTTTTTATAAATTTATTTGAACTTATTTTCAATTTTTTTTCCTAAATATTGGTTTAAAATTCAGAAATTCCTTTTGAAAGTATTTTATAAATTTAAGTATTTAATTATTTATTAAAAAATTTAATCCATTTTTCAAAACCTTATCCTTCAAATCTAAACCCTAAATATAGATTAATTAGTCTTTGGAATATAAATATTTTTATTCTTAAAAATTATGGATAAATATGATTAATGTAAATATGAAAAGTGATATTTAGTAATGTGAAAGTTTAAGCAATTTCTCAAACAAAAATTGATTTTAAGATAATTTCCAAAGTTTCATTCTACTTATTATTTCAAAATAGACTAACTATATAATAGAATTGCATCTTGTTCCTAATAATATTGTATTTTAAGGTAAACAATAGAGTAACGAAAAAATGTTATCATATGTATACGGTAAATTCACATTTTATTCTATTATAAAATGAAAAAATAGTAAAATTGAAATATTTTTATTTTAAATTTTATTTAGTAAAATATAGAGTGAGGTTAGAAATGTTATAAGCCACGATAATAATCAGAAACACTAAAAACATCTTTAGTGATGAATTTCTTTATCAAGGCTTCTCTGCATAAACTTATTAATATTTTAAAGTAAATTAATTATCTCAACAAAACTTAATGTTTTAATTCTTGCTGTCACGTTTAAATATATACACTTGTAAAAAAGAGTGAATGTGGTCAATATACAATAATAATGTGGAAATTAGCTATATGCCTTTTCAATAAATTTATAGGTACCAGACAACATAAAAAGACAATTAAACCCTTGATGAATATCACGTGAGGAGAAAGAGGAGAAGAGGGGGAGGAAGAGAAAGGAGGGAGGAGGAGGAAGGGAGAAAGGAGGGAGGAGGAGGAAGAAGGAAGAGGAGGGAAGGAGATCGGAGGAGAAGGGGAGGAGATCGGAAGAGGAAGAGGAAGGAGGAGGAGGGGAGGAGATCGGAGGAGGAAGAGGAGGAGGAGGGGAGGAGGGAGCAGGCGGAGGAGGAGGAGG